AAAATAGTTAATTTTTATTTAACTTTTATGTATTTACCAGTTAAAAGTATAGGCTTATGTATCTAAAATGCTACAACCTGCCTAGAAAATTTGCAAGCAGAAATACACAAAAAACTATTTTTATTTTATTTTTTTTTTTTTGTCTTTTTGAAGCAGGGTCTCCCTGTAGCCCCAGCTGCCCTGGAACTCACTATGCAGATCAGGCTGGCCTTGAACTTACAGAGATCCACCTGCTTCTGCCTCCCAAGTGGTGGGACTACAGGCCTGCGCCAGTGCCTGGCTATATCTACTAATTATTAAGAAGCAAATTTTTATGCTTTGAAGAATTATTTTTTAATCTTTTTTTTAAATTTAATAACTACATGATTAGAAGAAGCATTTCACTACAGCTTCAGCCCTTAACATTTTAAAAGTAAATCCACTTATCTAGAGATTTCAAGATTTAACTTGAGTTAAGGCTCTGATTCCACAAGGGTTTTTCCCTTCCTGTTTCACTTTTAATTGATGCATATTTTTAACTGGAATAATATGTTTTTCTCTTAAATAGATAGCTTATCCTAATTAATTACCTCTACTTACATCCCAAATCATCTAAGAGTACTCTTAAATCAGTCATTTATATTGAGATATTACTCGGTCCCTTGTCCTGACACGTCACTGTGCAGGTTGGCCACTGTGGTGGAGATGGTCAAGGGAAAATAAACCAGCTGCCCTGAAAGCCGTGGTCTGGAAGGGCCTGGGAGTGCATAGATGAAGTGTTGGAGGCACAATGGTTTAAGTAGCCTTAGTTAAAATGAAATTCTTAGCACGGTGTCCATGCAGAGGAAATACAACGGTTCACAAGTCTACACCTGAGTACCGATATAGGCACCAGACACAGCAACAAGGAAGACAGAGCCAATTTCTTCCTTTTACCCCTTGGCCAACTCCGGCTGTTTGAAAAGGACCCAGGGCATTAACGTCACTTCCGGCGGCAGCCGAGCACGACCTGCCCCGCTATGAGCGCCAGGGCAGAGCCAAGGCGGCGTCCCGGAGTTGGGGTCGGAGTGGTTGTGGTGAGCTGTAAGCATCCTCGCTGCGTCCTGCTGGGGAAGAGGAAGGGGTCGATTGGAGCAGGCAGTTTCCAGCTTCCTGGGGGTCATTTGGAGTTTGGGTGAGCACGTCCACATGCGGAAAGCGGAAGGTGTACAGAAAAAAACTGGTCCGCGTGGTACATGCGTTCGGTTCGTATATGAGTCAGTGTGGCGCGCATTTGCGCGCAGATGCGTTCCGTTCCGGTGTGTTTTCCAGCTGCCCTGAGGCCCTGGATGCTGCGGCTGGGAGGGGGCGCTGTGCCTGGAGCTGCTTTCCTCAGCACCGCCTCACCCGGCGCTGGTAGGAATCTGTGCTCTACTTTGGTTTTACAGAGAAAGAAAAGTGGGTGTTTCTAGAAAACTGGGGCGAGCCATCTTTGCGCTTCTGTATGCCGGGTTCCATGAGATTTAGATGTGCTGACGTCACCATTATGGGTTAATGAGACTCGGGTTTCTGAATGATGTACCAGATGACTGAAGGAGAAGAGTTAAGTCAGTTTCTATATAGGTGAAGAAACTGGCATTGTGCTAACAAGTGTATTCTGAAGTGAGAATATGGAGAAAAGTAACAGATAAAAGTATCTACATCATCCAGATCCAACGCAGTTTTCTTTAGAAATGTTTAGTAATATGAAACTCTTCAAATGCGCATAAAAACGAAGAGACCGTGAACCTTTACGTCCCCCTCAGAAAACTTTTTCTGTTCCTTTTCTGTCCAGCATATACTACACTTGATACCACACATGGTTTCCTGGACTGTGTTAAAGGAAAACCCAGGCAGCCTATTATCCCTAGATATTTAGTTCATTGTGTATCTGATAGACTTAAAAACAAAAATGTGGCTCCCCCCAGGTTGAACTTGAGTTGCAAGAGGCAAGCCCTTGCCACAAAACCAAAGTACTACCCCTATTGGTTGCCCAGCTGCAGCCGTTGCCACAGCAACCATAGAAATGATTGAAGACAGTGAGAAAGAGGAGAGTTGTTTCTGTAATTTTTTGATGATGATGAAACAGTAAAATTGCTGTTCAGAGCTACATTATTAGTGGGCACAATTGTGAAGTGAAAGTAGCCTCGGAATTTAAACAAGAAATGCAGTCTGCTGGATCACAGAGCTCATGGAAATGGATCTGGTAACTTCATGGGTGGTGGAGGTAATGCTGGTGGAGGTAATGCTTCATGGTGGTGGAGGTAATACTTTAGAGGGGTTTATGCTAGATACGCACCAAAAGGCTCACAGGTTCCCTGTCACTTGATCTTTATAGAGTAGGCTAAGTTTAATGAAGAAACAGATGATGGGTTTCCTTTCTCCTTTTGTTGTTTTCAAAGCTGAGGTTTATTTTTCCTCTATTTCTCAGTGATATTTCCTATATATATTTTTTGTTTATTTTATAAAAATGAATTGTATTTTTGTTCATTACAATTCGAAGCATCTGAGTCCAGTCCAGTTTAAACTTTCAGTATCATTTCCAGGTTTTAATTCTCACTGTAGTTTGAAAATGAGGTATAAACATCCTGGCAGGAGGAAAGATATTCTTAAGAGAGGCACTTGAGCCAGGCATGGTGGTGCACACCTTTAGCTCCAGCCCTTGGGAAACAAAGGCAGGTGGATCTCTGTGAGAGTGAGGCCAGCTGGGTCTATATAGGAAGTTCCAGGACAGCTGTGACTACAGGGAGTGAAAGATTTATCGTCCTCTTTTTTTTTTTTTTTTTTTTTTTTTTTAAAAAAAAAAAAAAAAAAAAAAAAAAAGACCAGCCCCTGGTCAGGGGGAGTCTTGTGTGCCTCTTTTTAGCTGTCAGATTAATGAAACAGTAAGTAGATCCCAAGAAATTGAAATCCCCAGATTTCATGCTGGGCCAAGGGAGAGGCTGAGGAGGAACTTATCTCCCAGGGTGTCTTATCATACTACCTTCAGTGATAGTGGTGGGTGGGACCACATCTTGACCAGAATTGCTTAGTTATGCATACTTCTTGCATTCTATTGAAACCTAAACCCCATGCCAAGACCCCAAGGATGGACTTGAGGAGTCACTGAACCTCTTTATTTGCTCCCTCTTCCCACATGCCTACATCAAATAAATCCCCCTTTGCTGCTTTTCACTGTTATTTGTCTGGTTAACTGTCATGTTGAGAACAGGTGGCTGAGCTTAGCTTGTTAAAGGTGGCCTCATCTGTTATTAAAGCTGCTGGTGCTCATTAACCCCAAGAACTCTGGTAACAGTGTGAGTCATTATTGTGCTCTTTCTCCGCCTCCTCCCCACACTCTTCTGTATGAGTTTCCTTCATTCTACAGCATGCTGAGGAGGAAGGAGAGGCCTGCTGTAATCCATACATTGGTGCCTTCTGTGTGTGGTATCCACTTTCCACAGTCCACACATATGCTCTTTCAGAGTATGTTTGTCTATTGTGTAGAAGTCCCCACAAGGACCTCTGTACTGCACAGTCTTGGGTACCGACAGTATATTTGTGACATTGGTTCCCCAGCTCTTGTTTTTAGCATATCACCTTGCATTTTCTCCATGTTAGAGGCCCCTGCTTGATTACCCAGCAGTCTCTTGTCCTTGGTCCTTAGTCTCTTAGTCCTAAGGAATTGCAGCGGAAATGAAGTCTTTTCACTTGCTGCCCCTTTGCTTGCTCAGACCCAGGAGCTGTGCTGGCTACTCTCCCACCTTCCAAATTCCCAGGGTGGAGTCAGCATCAGCCTCTGTATTCATGTGCCTTTCAGATTTCTACAAGAAATCTACAAGAACCCTTAGCCTCCCACCACCCCTGTTCTGAAGCACTGGGGGAGGCTTTCGAGGTTCAGCAGTTCACTGTGCCTTTGGCAGGGGAGTAACACACCAGTATCTCCCAGTTTCTCTGACTGATTCATTTTTCTTTGCTTTTGTTTGGGGGCAGTTTTGTTGTTGGTTTTGTTTTAGAGACAGGATCTCACTCTGACCCAGACAACCCTGGAACTAGTTATGAAACTCAGGGTGGCCTTGAACTCAGGCAACCCTGGAACTAGCTGTGAAATCCAGGGTGGCCTTGAACTCATGGCAGTCCCCCTGCCTCAGCTTCCCAAGTGCTAGGATTATAGGCATGGCTGACTTTTTATCAAGCCACTCTCTTGGCTCCTCATCACGAGGCAAAGAAAGAATTCCTACTAGGCTGAAAATATATAACTTCTTCCTCTCAAAAATCAACTGCATTTCCTGTGTAGCCTGGGGAGGGTCAGAGCCACCATAGGGTAGCCTGTTGCAGTGAGCCCTGAACTCAGACCACATGTGTTTTCAGATCACCTCTTTTCTCTTCTTCTGTATTCTTGACATTTTAGAGGTGCTTTGTGTCTAATGTCCTCAATTTTGATGCCTAATCTGAAATTCTGAGGCTACTAGAAAAGATATAACCAGCCTTTAAGAAAGTTAATATTTCTCTTTTCTACTTAAGGTAGAAAGTAATGGACTTCGAGTTCAACCTATATCTAGTTGACTCCAAAGCCTATGCTCTTAGCCAGCACACTAAACTGCCTCCTAGTTACCCCAACCTGGAAATTAATGTTAATGGTTAAATGTTAATTACGTTCAATATAAAGCCATTTGGGTCTTCAAATAACCAAATACAAAATGTGTGGAATATCATGCCAGGGTTTTTAAAAAATCATTTTAAAGTATAAACAAATTACTGTCCTTTTAACTTTATACTAGAAATTTCTAACCAAGAATTTCATGTCAAGTGTACACACATATATATGTAGGATTAAATACAGTGGCGTGCTTCTGTTTTCCAGTGAGACCTGGGAAGAATGTGCTCAAAGGGAGACCTGGGAGGAAGCTGCTCTTCACCTGAAAAATATCCGCTTTGCCTCCGTGGTGAACTCTTTTGTGGAGAAAGAGAATTACCATTATGTCACCATATTAATGAAAGGAGAGGTAGACACAACCCATGATTCAGAACCAAAGAATGTGGAACCTGAAAAAAATGAAAGTAAGAGAATTATATATAATAACGTGTTTTCTTCAAGGAGACCATGTTGTTAGAAGTATTATATTATATTGCCATATAAAGAGAATTGGATTCTCTTCCTCTTTTGCCCCTCCCCAAATTCATGTGTTGAAATCCTAATCCACAAGGTGATAGTAACAGAAGGTGGGGTCTTTGGGCCTGACTAGGTCACGAGGGCAATGCCCTTGTGTTAGTTAGACTTTGCATTTGCTATAACAAAGTACCTGTTATGGGAGGAGACTCAGCTCATGGTTTCACAGGCTTCATTCCACAGCCCTTCATTTCACAGCTTGTTGTAGGGAAGAACATCATGGTGAGGTAGCATGAAGCAGAGACTGCTCACTTCATGTCTGACAGGAAGCACTGAGAGCAGGGACCAGGTACAAACTTCAAATGCACACCCCCAGCAGCTTCCTCCAAATAGTTCCCTGCTTCCTAAAGTTGCCATTGCCTCCAAAAATAACACCAGTAGCTGGGTTCAACACATAAGCCTGTGGGGAATGTTTCATACTCAAGCCATAACAGCCTTCACAAATGCAATTAATGCCCTCAAGGAAGAGACCCCAGAGAGATGTCACTATATCCTCCATTTGAGGATTCAGAGAAAGGAGGACTGTCAATAAATGGGACATCACCAGGCATCATGTCTCTTAGCCTTAGACCTCCACCTCCAGAACTGTGCAAAACTTCTCTTGTCTGTAAGCCACCTAGTATGAAGTATCCTGTTACATCAATCCAGATAGACTAAGTCAGTACAGATGTAACAGCGCTCAAAGCCTGAAGGACAGGACATACCAGGCTGCTTGGCTTTGTGTCCTGGTTCTTGTACTTTGCTCTCCATGACCTTGGAACATCCCCCCAGGGGATGCTTTGTGTCTAATGTGAGAACAGTCACACCTCAGCTGAGTTCTGGTGAGAACTGAGTACTTTGGTATATACCTAGTAACCTGGTAAGTACTTTGTCCATTTTTTGTTAATGTTTAATTTTTTTCAATTTGTGGTTTTAGGGAAAATATTTCATGTGCTTTTCCCAGTTTTCTCACCTCCTCATGGGAGGTATTGCCCTGCTTTTGCAGAAAATAGTTAAATTGACAGAACAGCTGTCTGTTACCCACTGCATCAAACTGAATGCTCTGAAAGCTTTCACCTCCACAGCGCTGCCTTGGAGCTTTGTGCCATTGCCCTTCATCTTCTTTTGAAACTGTGAAGAAAAGATGCTAAAGAGAAAAGTGTGAATGTGTGTGAGTACACCTCATGTGTACAATGCCTGTAGAGGCCAGAAGAGGTGTTAGATTTCCTGGAACTGAAGTTACAGACAGTTGTTAGATCATGTGGGTACTGGGAACTGAACCCAGGTCCTCTGCAAGAGCAGCCAGGGCTCTTAACTACTGAGCCATCTCTCCAGCCCCAAAAGTGTAAACATTTTTTTAAATATATTTTATTATTATTTTTATTTTATGTGTGTGAGTATATTGCCTAAGCATATGTCAGTGCACCCTGTTGTGCAATGCCACAGAGGTCAGAAGAGGGCTTCGCATTCCCCTGAAACTGGAGTTAAGGACGGTTTTTAGCCGCCAAGTGGGTGCTGGGAATCAAACCTGGGTCCTCTGCAAGAGCAATAAGTGCTCTTAACCACTGAGTCAAACATTTTTTGAATATGTACATTCTTTGCTCTATGAACTTTACCCAAGTGATCTCATGAATATACCTCCCCTCTGAAAATTTAGTTTCTTCTCTAGTATGGAAGAGTATTTCCAGACAGCCAGTGCTTATATGGTGTGTAAGATTCTAGTCTAGGTACTGAAGAAGCAATGGTGAATAGACAGAGTCCCTGTCAGAGTACAGTGGTTTTGTATGTGTATGGGTCCATGCTTTGTTGCTATAATAAAATACCAAAGGATGGGTATTTTATAAAATAAACAGCTTGTTTAACTTATGATCTTGGTGGCTAAAGAGTCCAGATAGTTTGTGTTCACATCCCGGACAAGTCTGCTTTGACTACATCACATGATGGAGAAGTTCAAAGGAAAATGGCCACATAGCCCAAAGCCACTCATGCAAGCAGATCTGGGAGGCCACAGTAAACCATCATTCCCTCTTAAAGTCCTCATCACCTCAAAGTCTTGACTCTTGAAGGCTCCACTACCCCTCTCAGTGTCATGCTGTAGGTAACATACCTCCAATATGTGAAACTTTGAGGGACTTACTCAAATCACACTCAAATCACAGCAATGAGTCTTTGTTTTATATATGGTATAGAGACCCATCTCTATCCCATGTCCCTCAGACCCTGGACTTGGAGCGCCTGGTACAGATAACTATTGCTACAGCCTTCCTTTACCATCTGACTATGATTAAAAGATGGGATAAACCCTTCACAGACAACTCTGTTGAGACTCTGTTGAGACTCAATTCAGCATCTTGCAAAGCATTTTTGGTTCACTTGTGTGTGTGTGTGTGTGTGTGTGTGATGTATATGTGTGGGCATGTGCATGCCATGGCACACATGTGAAGGTCAGAGGAAAATTTTGTCCTTCCACCTTTAAAATTTTTTTTAATAATTTGATTTATTCTTAGATGGATGAGTGTTTTGCCTACATGTATGTAAGTGCACCCATGTCATGCAATACCTGATGAGGTCAGAAGAGGATGTCGGATTTCCTGGAACTGGAGTTACAGAGAGTCCTTAGTCACCATATAGGTCCCAGGAATCAAACCCAGGTCTGCTGCAAGAGGAGTTAGTGCTCTTAACACTGAACCATCTGTCCATCCCTCTCTCCTTCCACCTTTTTGTAGGTTCCAGGGATCCAACAGCTCATTGGGCTTGCACAAGTACCTTTACCAGCCCCAAACTGGCTTATTTTCATGAAACATGACCTTCTAGTGTATAAAGTTGTTTGTGTTTTAAGATATTTAAATAATTGCTCAGATAATATTAACAAGACAAATTATTTTTAAAAGCATTGAATGATACTAAATCCGAGTTTTTGTCACAATGTGACCTTTGAGTATTGGCTTCACAGTGTTGCAGATAGGTATGGTATTAATTACACTGTAATCCCAACACTTGGAAGTAGAGACAGGAGGATCAAGAGGTCAAAGCCAGACTTAGCTAGTTAGTGGGTTAAAGGCCAAACTTAGCTACATATGAGTTGGAGGCCAGCCTGGGCTATATGAGACCCTGTCTCAAAACAAAAACCACACAACTGGTGCTTCACTGGTTTCCCTTCTCTTCCTAAGATCTTTACTCTAAATGCAAATTAATATTTGTACAGCAACGCCAGCACCAATCATCACTACTAGAATTTGTTAGTGCTAGGTCTCTTAAACTCTGCTAATGCTGTTCTAAGTATAATAGGTTAGTTCACCAAAGTAAATGCTCCTCGCCAGCATGTGCCCCCGGTTTTTTTTTTTTTTTTTTTTTTTTTTTTCTAGGTTGGGAGTGGATACCTTGGGAAGAATTTCCTCCATTAGATCAGCTTTTCTGGGCACTCCGTTGTTTGAAAGAGCAAGGCTATGATCCATTTAAAGAAGAGCTAAACCATCTGGAGGGGTACAAAGGACATAATTTCCAAGGGCCCAAGAAAATTCCTTGATTAAAAAAAAAGATACAAGCCTCACCTCCCTCTCCTTCCCTGGGCCTACACGACCTGCGGGCCTCTCTCTGACCCACAGGCCTCTCTCTCAGGGTAAGTCGATGGATTGCACCCTCGGCGCCTAGACTCCCCCAGCCTCATTCATCCCCCCCACCCCCACCCCTGCCGGTCTCTCCTCCTAGCCTGGGTCCTGTCCCATTCCTTGTCTCGGGCCCCAGACACCTGGGGAACCACCACTACTTCCTGATCCTGTGCATCCAGACCAACTCAGTTTCTTCTCGGGTCCCCAGGAGCATTGCTTCTGGGCCTGGCCCCACCCTAACCTCCCTCTACTTCCCTGGGCCTGCACCACCCACCAGCCTCTTTCCTGGACGCCAGGGCTGACCTTTAATCTTCCTGATCCTTTGCATCCAGACCAACCCAGCTCCTCAGTGCAGTCCCCAGGAGACCTTGGGGCTGTTTCTCCACCCCATCTTCTTTTGCATCTCTGGGTGACATGGCAACCAGCTACCCTAGACCAGCATCTTTCCTAGGCCCGGCTCCCAGACCAGTCCAAACCCCAAATTCCTGACGCCAAAATCTTTTCTGGAGGGATCCAGACCCTAGGAGAAAGGCTGAGAACATCTGATCCTCATCTGACTTGGGCCTCTGTGGGAACTCCTGAAGACAAAAGCAATCTGGCCACTCCAATATAAAATCAAAAGAGAGAACAGGAAGCCTAGAACAAGCAGCTATTCATGCCCAAAAAGTAAACCACAAAGACACATAAAGTTTATAAAAAGAAGCAGACCTAAACGTGAAGGCTCGAGTCTCACACAGGAATCAGAAACTACAAAAGAAATTCACATGTCAAAATCACAGAGAAAAAATAATAACATGAAAAACTAAAGTAACATATCCCAACCAAATACTAATAGTCCTCCAGAGTACAATGAGAACCCCCTAGAGATAATGCAGGACATGGAACTCAAAAGAACAATTATA